ACAAAAAATGTAATAAATAAAAAAAGATTAAAAAAAAACATTTTAGCAAAATAACTAATAAATTAATAACAGAAATGTATTAAAGTAAATAAATAACATATTTAACAGTACAGGGTAACAAATGTAAAAATAATAATACAAATAATATTAAACTAAATAAATAAGCAATACAACATTTGAATAAAATATTATTTATGATATTAAATAATGCTAAATAATAATTATAAAATAATGAATAATTTAAATAAATAAATAGAATAAAATAAAATGAATCTAAATAAATAAAACATTTTATTAAAATAATAAACCATACAAATTCATTTTACTAAACAGATAATAGAAATAAGACTACAAATTAAATAAATAAAAAAACATTTAAAAAACAACAAATATATTAATAACAGAAGTTTATTAAAGTAAATAAATAACATATTTAACAGTACAGTACAGAGACTAGGGGCAAAACTTAGTAATGTAATATCATGGAAATATTTTACAAATAATATTCTACACATTTATAATATCAAAACCTCACATTATAATTTGGGTATTTAAGTATGAAAATATTTAGCTGCTTTTAACGTCTAGGATCTAAAGATCGTAACTCCCATGATTTAGACAACGCCCAAAAGATATAATTATGAAGTAAATCGATTATTTGTGTATTCTTGTATGAATAAAAACAAATGCATCATGCATTTTTAGACTAGTTGGAATAATACACAGACTTGCAGAACACTTTTCGATTTTCATACGCATATCTAATATTTTAGTTACCTTTTTCAACCTTTCTCCACTCGGGTTTGTGTTTCTTGTGCTTCTTCCCCATTTTTGCCTTTATTTATGAGGAAAAGTCAGGTTTAATCTTCTTAGCTTCTTTAGCTCTTCTTCGACGCAGCAGCAACAACAACAACAACATTAGCAGCTACGGTTAACTTCCGGTTTCAGGCGGTGTCGTTTCCGGCGCGGGATGACGTCACCGCTAACGCGGTAAATTTGCTGTTGTGAGGTGAGTGTGGGTAGATTACTTACAAATTGTAATCCGTTACTGATTACAAGTTACGCGATAAAATTTGCGGTTAGTAACGTAATCCGTTACATTACAATATAATCAGTTTACTTTTGACCTAACTCGTTTATCACATTGATTTGAATAGGATAATCTTGTACCATATTGATATAAAAATACAAAGAGAAAGAAAATATATTCTATTTATTGTAATTAACAACATGAAGTGCATTTATCATTACATTGCGTCAAGGTTTGTAAGTTAATAATTTAATCATAATAATGTAAAATTAAAATAAATAATTTCAAAATAACAACAATCAAAATATCACACTTATTAAAAAAAATTAAATATATGAGTATTTTAAAATGTAATTTAATCTAATACTTAATTTTTGTAATCTGATTACGTAATCCAGATTACATGTAATGAGTTACTTCCCAGCACTGCTGGTTAATTAGCTTTTCTGCCTAGTTAGCTAGTTTCTGGGTTTGTTTATAAATCTGATATTGTTTACGTCACATTTATATGTATGTGTGTGTGTGTGGTTGTACATACACATATATGTAGTTGTTTTTTTGGTGTTTGGCTTAGTGTTATGTTAGAATCGTTATTATACTCTTATACCTTTTGTTCTTTAATATTTTGAATTGTTTTTAGATGAATTTTTTTGTTTTTCATTTAAATGTTAAGTTTTGAAATTTTGTTGTATGCATTTGTAATTTTTATTTTGAATTGTTTTTAGATGAATTTTTTTGTTTTTCATTTAAATGTTAAGTTTTGAAATTTTGTTGTATGCATTTGTAATTTTTATTTAATTTCTTTATTTTTAAAATGTGTATAAGTAGTATTTATAAAGTTCTGGATCTGTTTTTAGTTGTTTTAATACTACAATTGATTGCTTCTGTTGTCCTCATTTGTAAGTCGCTTTGGATAAAAGCGTCTAATAAATGACTAAATAAATAAATAAAATAAATATGTTTAGGTTCAGTCATTTTACTTTAATGGCAAATGTATAGGTCCTTTTCTAAGCCATTAAAGTAAAATAACTGAACATAAACATAGGAGCCTGATAAAAATGCTAATTGCAGAAGAAAATGTCAGACGGCACTTAGAGGCTTTTGCATCTGAACTCTTCATTTGTCTGCATGTTTAAAATGGTCTGAGTTTGTGTTTGCAGCACAGCCAAGAGGTCTGAGGTGAGGACGCATGTGTTGTCACTGCTGGATCGACACTGCGCAGTTTTAAGCTCCTACAGGTGGACGGAGTTTGATGATGAATTTCTTACCAAAAATGTGGAGTCAGTCAGTGTAGCGGATTTAACTGGTCCAAAAGTAATTACAGTTTTTTCCTCTCATCTGTGTACATTCTGCTTTATATTTCATATACAGAATTTTAAAATGTTTAAAGGGATAGTTCTGTTTTGAGTTTTTACGTCATGCCACTTTATGGGTGTGATATTTCTTTTACATCTCACAGCTTGTGGATCTGAAGGTTCACAACCTTTGTATCCATATTTTCTCTCTGAATGATGACAGTCCCAGCATGCTTGCTCTTGAAGAGGAGGAGGAGCTTTCTGCTGCCAATCACTGGCTCCTCCCAGCAGGTGATCATGCATGACACGCCCCTTTTAATGCAAATCACATTCACATAGAATCCTTCATGTTTCAAATTTAAATTCTGGGATTATTTACTTGTTCCAAACCATTTTTTTAATACTTGGAATATGTGGTGCATGGACTACTGGTGTGTTATTTGTCCTTTTTGGAGCTTGGCTTTCATTGAATAGAGAATAGCAGCTTAAACATTCTGCCTAAGATGTTGTCTATTACATGGGAAAAAATAAAACTAAATAATAATAAGGTTTGGAATTAAATTGGGACACAAAACAATAACAGAATTTTATTTTTTTTGCATGAATTGTTCCTTTAAACTGAGTTAATGCTCCTGTGTGTTAGTATTATTAGATTATTTTTCCAGCGTCCCTTCTTTCTTGTGTTTATGCTGAAGATAATATACATTGTTCCCTTACGTACACATATTTACTATCAGTAGAAAACAAACTAATCATTGTCTGTCAAACACATTTTATGGGATTGTAATATTTCTACTCCTCTGAGAAAATAGTTTTATTGTGTCGAGACCCTTGAAAAGGTTTTTGATCAATTTAATCCACATTTAATTTTAGAATTTTTAGGGCAAATGAATGATCTTATTTAGTCTATTTAAATTTTAATAACTCGGGTATGATTTTCACCATGAGAAAGGCATTAAAAAATAAACATACTACATGCAGTACGTTGTTCCAGAGAGCTGGACTCATCTTTAAGACTACAACATCTTCTTCATGTCTTCCAGCTGAGTTTCATGGCATTTGGGAAAGCTTGATTTATGAGGAAGGCATCAAAACACAAGTAAGACAAGCATATTCACTGTCATCTTGGAATTATTTCAGATTATATAGCAGAATTATGCTTGTTGGGAGAAATAGGCAGTATAACCAAACTCTTATGTCACAGTAGAGGGCATTTGATATACATATTTGATATGTTGCATATTGATAAACCTGTATATATTCATACTGACATATTTGGTCAGTTTTCCTGGAAGAGAAAGATATGTATGTTAATGTATTTAATGTAAAATATGTATTTTGATGTCATTTTGTCCTTTTCTACACTAGCATACACTGCTGTTCAAAAGTTTGGGATCAGTAAGATTTTTAAAGAAGTGTTTTAAAGAAGTCTCTTTTGCTCATCAAGGCTGCATTTATGTGATCAAAAATACAGAAAAAACAGTAAAAGTGTAAAATATTATTACCGTTTAAAATAATGGTTTTCTATTTTAATATACTTGAAAATATAATTTATTTCTGTGATCAAAGCTGTATTTTCAGCATCATTACTCCAGTCTTCAGTGTCACATCTAATATGCTGATTTATTACAGTTTTGCTGCTTACATTTTTTTTGGAACCTGTGATACTTGTTTCCTAATTCTTTGATGAATAAAGTTATAAAGAACAGCATTTATTTAAAATATAAATCTTTTCTAACAATATAAGTCTTCATTGTCACTTTTTATCAATTTAACACATCCTTGCTGAATAAAAGCATTAATTTCTTTAAAAATAAATAAATAAATAAAAATTACAGACCCTAAACCTTTGAACGGTCGTGTATAATGTTACAAATGCTGTTCTTTTTAACTTTTTATTCTTCAAAGAATCCTGAAAAAAGTATCACAGGTTCCAAAAAAAAATAGTAAAATACAGCTGCGCATCACAGAAATAAATTACATTTTACAATATACTCACACAGAAAACACTTATTATAAATTGTAATAATATTTCACAATATTACAGTTTTTTCTGTATTTCTGATTGAATAAATGCAGCCTTGATGAGCAGAAGAGACGTCTTTAAAAATCGTAATTAGTAATTATTCCTGAATGCCAGTATAAGTAGTATTGCAAAACTGACACATTTCTTCCATTGCATTGTCATATGTCATATCATAACATGACCTTTGTCTTCACTTCGGTCTCCAGCTCTTGGATTATGTTTCGACAACAATTTTCTTCTCTGACAGAAACGTCGACAGCAATTTGATTGCCTGGAATCGTGTCGTGTTACTTCACGGTAAGACAGTAAAAGCTTGTTTGAAAGCTCAGCACTTTCTGTCTTCTGCCATGTTTATACAGTTGCGCGTCTTTCCTGACCCCTCAGGGCCGCCTGGCACAGGGAAGACGTCTCTGTGTAAAGGACTTGCCCAGAAACTCTCCATCAGACTGTCTGGCAGGTGTGACATCTTCATAAAAGGAG